CCTCGCCCCGCCCCTCGCCCGGGCCCCGCCCACTGGACAGGAGTGTAGAGGCCGGATTGGAGGGGATGGGCCAAAGGTATGGGCTCAGCCAATGGCAGTGCGGGCGGTGTACGAAGAAGCCAATAGGATCAGGTCCGGGGGCGGGGCCAGGCGGCTCTGGGGATTCCTCCCGAATCGCGAAAGGGGCCGGATGCTGGGGGCGCCGCGGACCCCGGCGCTTCCGAAGAAAAGGGAGGAAGGGGGCAGTCAGAAACAGGGACCCTGTTTTTCTTCAAAAAGAAAACAGACGAACCGTGCAGTCCTGAACAGGTCCCTTCCTCCCTGTGGGACTCAGTTTTCCGATCTGGGTAATAGAAATTTGGGTAGAAGCTTGTTTCTTAAAAGTACGACCAGGAACCCTTTATGTCAGAATCACCTGGGCGCCCCTAAAAAATGCAGATGCGAGTACCCCCAGGCGTGCTGAGTCTGCCCCAGGGTTGCTCATAGATTCTCCAAGTGAGGTCTGAGGCAGTCGCTGGGCAGACGGGCCCTGGAGACCCCACCAGGGGACTCCCAGATCCAGCCTCAGTTTCCGTGGGAATGAGCCTCCAGCCTCCAGCCTCCAGCCTCCAGCGGGTGGGGCGGCGGGGCCAGCTGGGCCCCCAGAGGATGCAGCTGTGAGTCCTGGGAACTGGGCCCTGGAGCGGCTCCCAGCTCCCCTGCTGCTCCGGTTTCCTCTCTGCAGCCCCAACCCAGGGTCCCAGCTACAGCTAGAGCCAGGGGAGGCCAAAGCAGGCAAATGCTTGGGAAGTGCCTGGTCCTGTCCTGCACAGTGGGAGGGACACAATTCTGGCACAGACCTCATGAGGCCCAAATAAATTAAATGTCTCTTTATCCCATTTTAGAGGGGGAAACTGAGGCCCAGAGAGGGGGAGTGAATTGCTTGAGGACATGTAGGCACAAGTGGCAGAGACATGATCCAAAACCGAGGGCTCCTGCCCTAGCCAGTTTGGCTCAGTGGTTAGAGTGCCGGACTGTGGACTGAAGGGTGCTGGGTTCCATTCTGACCAAGGGCACGGACCTCAGTTGCAGGCTCAATCCCCTAGCAAGCAGGAAGGCAACCAACCAGTGTGTCTCTCTCACATCTCCCTCCCCCGCCCCCAAAAGCACTGGAAAAAAATATCCTCTAGTGAGGATTAAAATAATAATAAAGTGCTTTCTTTCCTTTAAAAAAAGGAGTAGCACCCATGGTTAGGTCCTACTATCTCTCTCTAGTCCAGGCCTTATCATCCTCAGCGCTCTTGACGTTCGAGATGGTAATTCCCGCTTGTGAGGGCGGGAGGCCATCCTGTGCACTGTGGAATGTTGAGCAGCATCCCTGGCTTCCACCCACTCAACGCCAAGGTAGCCCCCCCAAGTTGTGACACCCAAAAATGTCTCCAGTCATTGCCAAGTGTTCCCCGGGGTGTCATATTGGCCCCTGGTTGAGACCTAAATCCATCTTTTCATTTCTCCAAGCCCCAAATTATGGAGACCCCTTCTTTGGATCAGAGCAGCTAATGGGCATCACAGAGGCAGAAGGAGCTGTTTTTAGCACCTCATCAAACCACAGCAGGTTGTTTCAATGAATGCGGCATGGGCATGGCAGGTGCGGAGTGTCACCCAGGTGGGTTCAATCCCAGCTTTGTCAGTATCTGCCCACATGTGTTCATCTCTCTGAGCCTCAGTTTTCCACACCTGTGACATAGAATAATAAAGCCTACAGGTACACAAATAAGATAATGAATAAAAAATGCAGGTTGGGGTCCCAGTCAGGGCACATCCCTAGGCTGCGGGTTTGATTCCCCGGGCAGGTTGGGTAAGGGAGGCAACTGATCGATGTTTCTCTCTCACATCTATGTCTCTCTCTCTCTCTCTTCCCTGTTCCTCTCTCAAATCAGTAAACATATCCTCAGGTGAGAATTTTTTTTAAAATGCTCACAAAGATATGAAGAAATTAGAACCTTTCAATATTGATGGTGGTGGTGGGAATATAAAACGGTACAGCTGCTGTGGAAAAGTTGGGTGGTTCCTTGCCCGGCCAATGTGGCTCAGTGGTTGGGCGTCATCCCATGCACCAAGAGGTCACTGGTTCAATTCCCGGTCAGGGCACATGCCCGGTTTGGAGGCTCAATTCCTAGTAGGGGGCTCGAAGGAGGCGGAGATCTATGTTTCTCTCTCATGGATATTTCTCTCTCTCTTTCCCTCTCCCTTCTCTCTCTCCAATAAAAAGAAAAGTTCGGCAGTTTCTTAAATTAATTCATAGAATTACCACATGACTGAGCAATTCCACTCCTAGGTATCTACCAAATGAAGTTGAAAGCAGGGACTCAAAAAAAAGTTTCATAGCAGTGTTATTCACAACAGTCAAAAGGTGGAAGCAACTCATGTCCATCAACAGATGGCCCAACACAACATGCCCATCCAGACAATGGGATATTATTATTCAGCCTTAAGAGGAAAGAAAATAGTGACACCTGCTACAACATGAATGAACCTCGAGGACCTTATACTGAGTGAAATGAGTCAGACACAAAAGGACAAGTACTGTGTGTTTGCACTCACAGGCAGTCCCTAGAGGAGCCAGATCCATAGAGACAGGAGGTAGATGGTGGGAGCCAGGGGCTGGGGGAGGGGGATAGTGTTTAATGGGGACAGAGTTTCAGTTTGGGAAGATGAGAAAGTTCTGGAGATGAATGGTGGTGACAATTACACAACAACATGAATGTATTTAATGCCACTGAACTGTACACTTAAAAATAGTGAAAGTGATTATTTATTTACCACAATTTTAGAAATGAGTAATGTAACACACCAAAACACTGAACTGTATGCTTTAGATGGGTGAATTGCATGGTATATGAATTATGTCTTAATAAAACTGTTTTGGTTTTTCTTATAAAGTGCCCAGCATCACATCTGGTCATAATAGCAATAATAGTATAGCTAATGTTTACTAAGCACCTATTATGTCACTATTAGCACTTTATATAAATTAGCTCACTGAATCCTCACAGCAACCTACCAGGGGCTACAAGTGGTGTTCCATTTCACAGATGATAAAATTAAGGCTCAGGAGAAGCAAGTGACCTGTCCCAGGCCACTCAGCCAGGTCATGACAGAGGTGGGATGAGAACCTGGGACAGTCTGAGTTGGGTGTAATGTTTACAGCTCTTCTGAGTGGACTGGACTGGACATCCTTGGAGTTGCCCCAGGTGGCCAAGGAACTGGGGGGCTCCTGAGCCTAGTGAAGAACAGACCGGGGACTCTACCTGGGGTTAGAGGCTCAGCTGGGAATTGGGGCTCAGCCGGGGGCCTTGGGGTCCTGGCTGTGCCCATCCCGGCCGTGCGCAGCAGGGGGCGTGCGTTGCCCACAGCGAGCCCAGTAGCGACTCCTCTTCGCCTGGAACGCGTGGCTGGAGTAGGCCGGATCTGCGTGCTGGGAAGGGTCCCAGGTACAAGTTACCCCAGACCCTAAACGCATCCAGCGTCACCTGCACCCCCAAATCAGGCCTTGCACCCTGCAGGACTGTGTAACCAGAGAAAGCGACCCTCTTCTCTGGGCCTCTGCCTCGTCCCTGCCGGTGGAGAGGATGGAGGGAGGGGGGAGCCTTTTCTCCCGGAGCCTCTGGGAGTCCCTTGCCTGGAGGCTTCCCCACTGCCCAGGAGCTTTGGGGGACCAGTAGTGGCGGTGGCCATAACAACCCCCTCCCATGTCCCAAGCCCAATGGTAACTCCCACGTGCCCTTAATCCATCCGTCCCCAGCCCACTTGTTTGTGGGGTGAGACTCCTCCCAAGGCCACTTAAAGACAGTGGGTGGGTGGACCCAGAGGGGGACAGGATGAGGGGGTCGGACCTTGCTGGAGCCCCCACTGGAGGTCAGGCCAGGACATCTCACAGAACTTCAGCAAGGGCAAGTTGGGGGGGGGGGAGGCTGTCATCATCTCTGAGATCACTGGCTCAACCTGAGGTCAGGGTCAGAGGGCCTAGGTGACCCCTCTCCTCGGTAATCTGCTAATGGAGGCAGAAGAAAAGTGGAGTGGGAGGTCCTGGAATAACTTCAGTCCTTTGCCTCCATTGCCCCCTTTCCCCCCACCTTCCTCCCGGCTGAGCAAAGGAGCAAGCTGGCCTCAGTGGCAGGATGTATTTACAAGTGTCAGCTGAGCAGCCACCTGCTGGTTGCGTGTGGGAGGCACGTGTCTGCAGAGATAAAGTCCAGTTGTGGGCCTGTGTGCACAGGTGTATGTGGGTGTGTGGGCAGAATCTGCTGCTGCTTCTGGGTATAGTGAGCCCCACATCATTCCTTGCAGGAGGAAACTTCACTTTTTGGAGCCTCAGTTCCTTCATCTGGAAAATGGGTGCAGTCACAGCACCAGATTCAGAGACTTGGACAACTCTGAGGACACAGCAAGCTCAGCAGAGGCCTGACACACGTGCACAGGCAGCAAAGTCAGGGCTGTGATGAGGAACACACAGCCAGCTGTGGGAACCCAGACGGGTCACGTCACCTCGCGTGGGCGCCCAGGGAGGCTTCCAGAGGGAGGTGACAACTGAGCTAAAATTTTAAGAGCGAGCAAAAGTCAACCATGGGAAGTAGCT